TTTCGCCTATGTCTGCTTGCTGCTGCAAAGCGTTTTACATTAATAAAAAATTAAGGATAATTTTTGGCTTCAATATCTCGTGGAAAAGAGGTTTTCCCCCTAGCGTAAGCTATTACGCAGTACGAGAGATACTCTCGTAAGAGAACATACTTGACAATTACAGAGGTATTTTGCTCATTTCACTTTAAATTGCTTCAATGTAAAAAATTTAACTAAATCTTTTGAACTTCAATTAAGTATAGACCTTTCAGTCTATTTTTCTCAGAAATATAGGTTATGTGGTAGCCTACTTCTCAGAAATATACTTGATATTGCACTTAAGTATACTTGACTGACAGAAAGGTATTTGCCATATACTTGTCCTCAATCTTTTGATCAAGATATACTTAAAAGTACAATTAAGTATTTTTAATCTAAATCTAACCTTCTTTTGATTGAGTAGCTTTTTCCCCCACATAGTTTTACATACAATCTTTTAAACTTACATTGTTTGTTGTGTTGGCTAGTCCACTGATAGTGTACTTCAAGTCTTTACTCTTTTTGAATTTTCATTGGTTTATAATACAGAAATCTTATTGGAGTAATAGATGCTTGAGGCATGAGCATGCGCATTCCTTCATGTAGCACTTTATGAATGAAGTTAGATTAAGTTTCTGTACAAACAAATGCTTCAGGCAGAACGGCTTGTAATATACATGTCTGCTAAATCTGGGGAACGAATAGCCTACTTAATATAGGCTATATAGGACTATATCAAGTGAAGTGAAGACAAATTTATTTGTATAGTGCTCAATTCAAATTGTTTCAAAGCAGCTTTACAAAGTCGTATTGTATGAGCTTTAATATTGAGCAGTTTTAGGGCTGGGTGATTTCACGAAATATGTTGCTGATGTAAATGATACACTGTTCCAGAGTTAGCTATATTGTATTTATTAATTTACTCAGCAGATAAGTCAGTGGCATTTTTAGTGAACAATGAGCATGACTGCATGAAATTACTGGCATTGCAAAGGAGAGATATTTTCTTGTGGATATACAATTTTTATAGCCTTTTATACAGGCTATAAAAACCTTGCAGTGCTGAAAAGTAAAAAAAAAAAAAAAAAGTAAAACAGATGTTATGTCGATCTATAGCAAATATTATTATTTTGTGCTCAAGAGCGTATTTAAGCAATAAATGTTCATATCACTTCTCTGCTGGGTATTTTTGTAAATTTTTGAAGTATGAATGTTTTGTTTGAAGTAATGAATGTTGTATTGCACAGATTTACAGCAGTGTTTACTTTTTTATAGTTATGCAATTTAATCTGAGTGTTAATATTTAAAACTATTATAATATGAACACAATGCGGGGGTGGATAAATAAATTATTGGATTTTTAATACCTGATTTTTAATAGGCTACAGATGCAGTACAAATTAGAAAAGTAGTTGTGCACTTAAAGTCCCCCTGTAGTCAATCATTTCATCCCTTAAAACTCAACTTTGATCACCAAAATTACATATTTAAATGTTTTTTCCTTGAAATTTAGTATTTAGAAAGGTAGTATATACATGGTTCTGTGAATATGTAAATTAGCCCCGCCTCTACTCACTCGCACCAGCTCAGAGATCCACTCGTTGATGATCACACGTTGATGTGATTGGTCACAAGTTTGTGACATCAGAAACCAGCGATTTCAAACTGCTTTTTTGAGACTGTCTTTGGTTCACTGCAGTTTTAAAGAGAAAATACTCAGCAATGGTGTTGACTTCTGCATTGCACATGGTTTGTCTTAAAGCATTTAAAAAGACCATATATATAAACAACATTAAAAACTTTATTTTCACCACAGGGGAAAGTTTAAAGTTTACTATTGTTACACTTAAAGTACACTTAAACGTATAGCTTCTACTAAAAAGTGGGCCAATTTAGTCCCAAGCAGTATTTAAAAATCTGCACATAATTTATAGGCCTACCTTTTTTAATTTGATAAAATATTTTTTTTTAAATAATGATAATTGCAGTGGGTTAGGGGCGTGGTTAGGTTTTCCCTTCCTTTTTAGGTGTGTTTGCTGTTCGGCATGAAGAGGCGCTGCCCAAACCGATCGGTGAATGACATCAGAGAACCGTGAGACTGAGAGTGATTAGAGATTAGACGGCTCCGCATGCTTTCGAATCACTCTCCCAGTACTATGATGTCATACATCAATCGATCTGTGCAGCGCCGCTTCAAGTCGAACACACCTATTGTCTTTAGCCAGGGGCGTCAGTTTGTGTTGAAAAGTGGTGGGGACAAAAGATCAGATGAAAAAAAACATACAACAATATAAAAAAAAAAACAATATCGGCGCGCGTTATTCGTCAGCGTTTTTCAACGCGTTTTTTTGTGTTCACACCCAAGCGATTTTCGCTGACGGTGAGCCGAGTGAACATGCAAATTCATTCCCTGACATTAGATGGCGCCCATTTGCTCTGCAATATCACTCAATAACATTCTCTTTTATCAAGAGTGTTGTAGTCGCTGTCGCGTTTGTCATATAGTTCTTCATGTTCCGACACCAACGAGACCAGCGGCTCTACATTCATCTGGCCTTGCATCTTCCTCGTCTTATTTCTTCCCGGCAGTGTAGACGCTACTTGGCGTATATCTTCTTCGCCGTTACGTTTGTGTGCTCGGCAAGACCGTTTTGTGTTTGAGCGCCCCCAAGTTGTGTTTTACTGTAACTTCAGAAGCTCCAGACACGTGAGCAAAAGCGCCAATCTCATTGGTCGGATAGTTTTTGACGCGGCGCGTCAAACTAAAAAAACGAACCCGATGCGTTTTGTAAAAACGACGCTTTTATGTGTGGCGTTTTTCGCATCGGTGTGCACACTCACATTGGCGCCCTTTGTTCAGTCACAAGGCGTTAAATGTCGGCGAATATCGCGCACGAAATTCGTCCCAGAGTGAACAGGCCTTAAAACCCTCAACAATGTCGACTGCACATGTAACAGTCCCTGCAACACCAGCTCAACCGAACAGTGCCAAAGCACCATACTACAGGCCTCGACATTAACGCTTGTCCGGGACAAGTGGATTTTTTGAAGGGAGAAGTAAAAGAGAATTTTACTTGCCCAACCGGACAAGTAGCCTCCACAGGCTGCGTGCTCGTTTGTCCCCGGGGGACACCACACACAAGGAGAAATGGGGCCAAAAAAATCCAACATGTTGGACATCCCCGATTAAAGATCTGAGCGGTGCCGGCGTCCTTCCGAGCAGACGAGAGGAGTCTTAACACACCACACATGGCAGGAATATCTAATCAGATTATTTTATGATAATCGGAGCATCCTTAAAGGAGCACTTCACCCATTTCAACATTAATCTTTATTGAAAGTGGGTCATATATGTAGTCGAAATGTAAAAGAAATATTGAATTTGGTGCCCTCTTGACCGAGAAAAGACAGAAAATAACTTTAGGGCGCATTTGTGTGTAAGACCACAACTCCCAGAATGCACCACGTTGCACAGCTCCGCAAGCCACTCCCACTAATCCAGAACAGCGCAAAGTCGCAAACATCAGAGAAATCACTCTTCCGTCTACTCTACAGGGCTAACGTTAGCTGCCACCAGAGTTAGAAATTCATTTCACACAAAATGTATAGTTAGTTGGCTGTGGCGAGCAGGACGAGGGACGTGAGAGCGGCGCGCGGCCGGTGGCGTGAGTGATAATGAACGACACCTGTGAGACGCACTGGTCTCTCTCGCGTCTCACACCGAGGAGCGGACGCATAAAACGAGGAGCGATAGGGCAGATCGAGAGAGGAACAGGCCTGATTTTATGGTGTGTTTTGTTTCTGTTGTGTGTGGCCAGCAGTGCGGGGCTGCTGGCTTATACTTTTGTTTTGTATTTGTTTATTTTACTATTAAAATGTTTAAATGTTCGTCGATTCCCGTCTCATTCTTCCCACAACAACGAACCCGACGCCGCCGCCTCTTGTTCCTCCATCAGCCTCAGCTGCTCTTCGCTATATTGTGGCTCGTATAAATAGCCACGAACATCAGTTTCGAGCAAAAGATTTTCAAAATCCTCGTCTTCCATATCGTGTGTCGTAAATTCAGGCATTATGGTAAATCTAACTCCTTGAGCGCTTGTTAGCTTAGCTTGCTGTCTTCCAAGCAAGATGGCGGATTAATAGTTTAGTTTCTTCAGGTTTAGTCCCACCCACTGATCTGTAATAGGCCGGTGGGGTGAGTGGGTCCCACGCCCTTGAATAATAATGAGCTAAAGGCTGTAGTTTTCTTAATATGCAATGAAATTTATCTTCCGTCCTATCGTGACGCAAAATGACGATATTTACGTCACGATAGGATGGAAGTAAAACACTTAAATCCTTTTTTCTCCCATCTCAGAAAAAAAAAACAAGCAAAATTCCACCATCATTATAATATATGACTGGGTTTCTAACAATACAAACCTTAATGCAAATGGGTGAAGTGACCCTTTAAGATTGTCGGAAGGGGTAAATCGGGGCTAAAATCGGCCTAATTATCCTGCCGTGTGAACCAGGCTTTACTGATCGGCGCATGCATGTTTTTGGGTCATTTTAGAATCAGTAATAGTTTATTTTGATTAAGTTACTTTTTTGGACAATGTACATTGTTTCTTTCTGTATCTAAACTGCATTGCATGTTTTATTTTGTGCAAATAAACCACATTTCTTGGTTCGCTTGATTTTTCAGAACATTTTAACCAAATGCTTTCAAAAAGTGGTGGGGACAAAATCAGCCATTTCAAAAAGTGGTGGGGACATGTCCCCAGCGTCCCCAGTGTAAATGACACCTATGTCTTTAGCTGATGATGATCACACATGTCTGTAATGTTTATCACATTAAATGATTCTGCACAGCTCACTTTTCAGTTTTTTATATATTTATATTGTATTCTTGTATGTTTTACTGTATCAATGCCAGAACCAAATATAGTTTTATTTCCAAACTAAATGCTTCCTTTGACATCGTTTAATTCTCTTTGCAGCTTCAACAGCGACCTCTACTGGTGAAACTTTGAATGCCAAAAAAACTTGTGAGTTATGTTTATTTTGAATATAAAACATAACAATGAGGCATTTTGCTCATTTATCTTTAAATGACTTTAAATTTGAAAATGATTATTTCTTAGTTTATTGCTTTCTTAAAATACCACGATTAGTCAGTTGCAGGATTTAGCAGTCAAATATTGCTATACAGTAAAATTACAGCTAAACTGTATTATTGATCACTGTCTCTGCCAACTGATTTTAGGCTAATAGTTTCATATCTCTCATATCTCATCCCACTCTGACACACTGTTTCTATCAGCTCTATCAGCTGTGTTCATACCAGCTTCTGCTCGGCCTGAAACCAGAGAGACAGAAACATGTAAGTGTATTTTTGCTTTGTTTATAATAGAATATTAAATCTGTTTTAAATGTTAAATAAGAAGAATCATTTTCCTGACAGTGAGATCATCTAGAAACACTGATGTCTGTAATCATGATTCAGTAATCAGTTTTTTTATTGTAATATGATTTGATCTGAGATCTTTTCTGTTGCAGCTGTTCCTCATACTGATCACATTCACTCTGAAGGTTCATTCACTCACAACACAATACAAAACTAATCATCTAAATATCTGTAAAAACTAAAACAAACATTGACATTTCCTCCTTTCATGATCATATGATGTGGCATGTTAATTTAAAATGTATTTAATAAAACATAATAAATCTGATAAAGATTAAACATGGATTAAAGCCTTATTCTTTCTTTTGACAGGCTCATGGCTTTTAGTAGTGCTGGTTTTCACTGGTATTGGTTTATTTCTGTCTGGATTCATGGGATTCATCTGTCTCTGCCACTCTGCCAGTAAGTACAATGTACAAGTTTAGTTATGCATAAACTGAGCTCCATGATAGAAACATATGATAATAAAGTGTATCTGCAGGTTCTGATGACGTTCTCACAGAGGTGATCTACAGCTCCTGCCATGTGGAAACAACATCTCTGTTAACTTCCTCTGTGTGCTCCTCAAAACATGGATGAACCGTTTTATTTCTTTACTTCTTGCACCTCTTTATAAAAAGAAAAATTGTTTGTACAGAAAGAATGATAGTAGCCTTTATTTGCAGTATGTAGCTACTGAATTCATATACTGATCAGCAGGCCAGGGCAGAATCTGTGGAGCTTTTTCAAACATTTTGATTTTGAGAAAAAAATGATGTTATATTGGTAAAATGTATGTTAAATGTTTCTGAAGGCATCTTCAAGTCATCTAGACTTTAGTGATGCAGATTCAGTGTCATTCAATGATAGATTTGAAGTATCAGAAACAGAAAAGTTGTTCCACTTTTTTAATCAACTATTGATTATAACATGCTACGGTTAAAATTGAACTTTACTGTTAGCAATCAATTTAGCAAAATTGGCATATAGTGCCCTACTTGTTGGGTTTATAGTCACTGTAAAAATTATTGTAATTTTAACTTTAAAAGACTGTAAAAATTGTATTATTCACCAGAGGAGAACATACGGAATAAAACTAATTATCTCTCATCAAGACAACACCAGCAAAGATCAACTGGAGCCTCAACAAATAGCATCAGGACAGTTTAATTTAAATGGGCGAGACATGCAAGTACCAAACTTAGTCTCATTATTTGATACATTTAGTATTCTTACCACTTTTAAAGAAGGGTGTGTTAGAACTAAACTGATGGTTTGCTCAAGGCTGTTGATCTGCTGAAAAAAATACAATGCTATAAATTCTTGCATTCCTGTATTCTACTTCAACTCTCTTTCCCTAAGTAAACTGTAGGCCTATGTATGTGTATGTTAGTAGTTTAAATGTTTTGTCTAGTTAATAAAATCTTGTTCATGTCACACGTAAAGTTGTCCGTGTCTCAAGCTCATATCTGGAGTCACTAATCAATCATAGATTTTGACTACCCTTACGAAAAAGAAGTATACTTCAAGTTAATTTTATGAAGTATACTTAAGTGCAATTTGAAGTATATTTCTAAGAAGTACATACAATGTAGACTGAAAGTATACTTTCTTATTTTTAGTTAAAAAGATGTATAGGCTACTAATGGCACACTTGAATAAACTTGTTTTTTGTAAGGGTACATACGGTGGGCGAGAGAGCTCAACGCGCTGCAACTGAAGAAAACACATGCAAATAGAAAAAAACGCGTGCAAATAGAAAAAAACACATGCAAATAAAATAAAACGCATGCAAATGGAAAAACGCGTGCAAAGAAAAAAAACACACCCACAAATTAAGAAAACATCTTCATCAGTTTCACAACACAGGTGTGCTCCAAATACTCACAACCATAGATATCATATAATAAAGGCTAGATGTCTTGTCCGCGCTGTTGGCCAATGGAGGACATTAATCTCATAACGACTTTTATGCAATTGTATTTGCAGTGTAAAAGCATTCTCCTCTGTATTAAGATTTTGACTTTTAATGACTTTTGTTAATTTTATTTTACTGATAACAGCCATAGTGCCTTATTATAATTATAACTGAGTAGTTTATCGATTAATATTAAGAACTTGACATATATGATGATGTATAGCCTACCTATTTAATAAGGTTTGGTAGCAGTAGCGGAGTGGCAATCGGGAGAGTCGGGAGTTTTCCCGGTGGGCCGGTATTGTTTCGAGGCCGCGAGGGCCGGTCTGATAAAATATATTCATTGCAAATTCGCCATGCGCACTTGGGGCCCAAGCGAGGGGAAGAAAACATTTTTTTAAACATTTTCTATAACAGAGCGTATATTTGCACTAAGTGCCTGTCTTTAAAGCAAAAAGACACTCGTTTTGAAACAGCTACAGTGGCGTAGGTCGTAGGGCGTGAAGTGCTTGAAAGCAGCTTTTGATGCGCTCGACCCGAGTTCGAATCCGCCTTTTTCCGAACTCTCTCTTCTCCCTTTTCCCAGCACATATGTAAAGATGTAAAATGTATAACCTAACATTAAGGTCTCTAGCGTTATATTTTGCCAACGAACTAAAATTGAAACCATGATATGGCTTTGTGTCTTTATAAAACAGCACAAGACTTTAAGAAAAGGCATCCTGTCTGTGCTGGGTGATTACTTTGCTCACGCGATCAGCATGGTTATCTGGTGTTTTCTCCTAAAAGCTCAAGGGTTTATTTCTTGCAAATGAAGAAATTAGGACAAAAATATTTTAATTGTCCTATATTATAGTGTAATGTAGGCTAAAATATACTTTTGAAATATTCATTTTCATTTATAGGCTATAGTACATTTATAGGCTAAATGGATTTTACGTCATAGGAATAATTATATAAATCATTATTACATTATAATAATAATTGTTTGGCATCCTAAAACATCATTGATAATGTAATCAGGGCAGGACTTAGGGGGCTGGGGGCCCCTGGGCTTGAGTTTATGTTTGGGCCCTATATGGTATACAAACATCATGGAGAAGCACAAATTACACAAAAATTTAAATATGCTTTGAGGTTCCTACAACAATTAATATGCAACATGCCTATAGTCAAAGTGTAGTGGTAGGCTAATTTTAAATAGTCATTATAATACAATAGAATGCAGGATGTGCTCTCTAGGTTGAGATAAGATCAAAACTCTAATAATAAAGCCAAGAGAAAACAGTATTTTTTTTAATTCATTGTCATAGCTATCTGTCAGATTCTTAAATTTAGTCAACAAATTCAATCAGAATACAAAGACACGGTGTATGCCTTATTATGACCAAATAAAAGGAAGTCGGTATCAATAAAATCCATTTTTGGATTGACCATTTCTGGTCTGATCCATTTCTGTTTAGACATGGCATGTATGGATTTATAATTGCATAAATTATGTTAAGAGATTAATGTTTTAAATGTAAAAATTTTAATGTAGAAATATGAAATGATTGAGAAAAATTAACTATGAAACCATTTTAACTATCAAACTAACACCGCCAGTAGGTGGCGGCAAGTCTCCATCTTAATGAGGGAGTTGGATCCTTTATTCAACCGATTCGTTCAAAAATCCTAATTCGTTTAATCTAGCAAACGACTGTATGTATGAATGGGTAGCCTAATTGAACCATTTACTTGTCTGATTCTATCAAAAATTAAGATTTTTTGAGGAACAAAACACGTGTTACTCGGAGGCGCAGCGGTTCAGCTGTTTGCTCTGTTTTCTTTGATTGAACTGATGTCACATTTGCGATTGTGCAGATGTTCGGAAAATCAGCGCTCTTGCTGGTGTGATAACTCACATATCATAGGCTCGTGTTTTAAATATATTAAACGGGAACTCGTTAGGCCTAAATGTTTTTTTTTTTTTTTTTTTTTTTTATCATTTTGATGACACATTCCTATATTGTGATGGCAGTGGAGAGAGCGCTCAAAATTCTCCAGAGCACATAATTTTGTGAAAAAAATAAATAGAAATTATCATTCTCTTTAAAGCAACGAGACGTGAACATGAGAATTTATCAAGATTTTTCTAAATGTGCGCTCTTTTGGACTAAAAGCCCAATTGAAGCTGTTTAAAGTAGCCGACCGCAATGGAGCAGATGCAGATCAACACGCGTGTTATTCTTTGTGATAAATATCAGGTTGCGCCGTTTGATTATAGCCTCGAAGCTCTCAGTCGGGGGATATTAAGGCCCGGGTATTTTATTCCGTGCTCCCCTCCGTCTTTCAAACTATAGCCTTTCTACTCCATGAGTGCGAAAAGACGCGTTCGGCGCGTACGCGCGCACTATAGTGTATTGGATTTTGTTTTCAAGCGCTCAAGTCACTACTTTGGGCTGATTATAGCCCTCGCTTGCACATGGCCAGACAGTGGAAATACGGCTAATAATTTCGGGATATCTGGCATATACAAGTTTAACTGAACAAAACAAACGAACGAAAACGGGTAAGGGAGGGGGCCCCCTACTGGGCGGGGCCCATGGGCTGCAGCCCAGTCAAGCCCAATGGTAAGTCCGGCCTTGAATGTAATGCAGACTGAGACTCTCATAACTAAAAAGATGCCCTCTTTATTATCCTGGTACAAATCAATGCTTTTTCTTTGTTCAACGAGCAGTTCATGGGTTGAAGCTCTTAATTTTGATCTCTCAAAGAGCACGAGATTGATGCATTTAACCTTAAAATGTAAAAAAAATTCTTGCGGGGGAGCATGCCCCCGAACCCCCCTAGAGGCACAGAGGTCCACCCAACATAGTTTTAAAAATTCCTATGGGAAAGAACGACCATTTATGAACTTTACTCCAGCATAGTACAACAAAGTTACTTTTAAATCAGTAAAACTGTAAATGCCATATTAAAATGTCCCTGGACAAAATATACATTTGGCCTGCCAAAGAGGGGACCTACAAGACATTGTGCCCAGGGGGCTCTTAATCCGGCCCTGCCGGCGACGAGGGCCGGTGGTCTACGAAATTTCCCGGTAGATTTTTTGGTCCCACTCCGCCCCTGTTTGGTAGATATAACATCAATTTATAGGGGGCAATATCAGCACGACCATGGGCACGGCAGGTGCTGTTTGAATGGGCATGATGATGCTTGCTTCTGTCCTCCACTGCATGGGCTGAGATGCGTGGCTCACTAGCTGCGTTTACATGAGCCCCTTTTGTTTGATTTAAGAACAATTCCAAATTCAGAGCAGCATCTATGAAATATGGGTTGTGTTTTAAGCATTTGAATTGTCACCTGTTATGCATACGAAATTATGAAACGCGAATGTAAACCGTGTATTGAGTCGCGTTTCAAACTCATTGATCAATATGCTTGCGTAGAAGTCAGTGAAATGTGCGCTGGTTTCTCTCCGCGTTCTGCGCTGGTGTGCGAGTCTCATCATCGACAGTAAACGCAAGCTCTTATCAGCCCTATCCACCGCGTTTACATTGTTATTAATAGTGGATACTTTCATGCGCTTCCATGTCCAAGTGTCTGCTATCAGACCCGTTGAAGTGCAGTTTCTGTTCATGTGTGCTATGTGTGTTAACCCTATATAGCCTACCCTACATACAGTTAGGGTGATATACATGACTTAAAATGTGATATTGTCCGCACACCTCTTGCGTTTCGTTTGGTCACACACCACAAGGTGTAACTGTGGCCTCAAAGCTTCAGCACTGCCACTCTGACTCTGAGCTCGATTGCTGATGTCTGAGGTAAAACACGCCCCCCTCGTTAGCATACGGACAAAGAAATGTCGAAATAAATAAATGTGGAAATAAATAATTGTGGAAATAAATAAATGTATAAATAAATAAATGTGAAAATAAATAAATGTAGACATAAAAACATATATAGGCCTACATAAATGAATGTGGAAATAAATAAAAGTGGAAATAAATAAATGAATAAATGTATATATAAAAAAAATGTGTGAAAAAATACAATTATACATAAATAAGGAAATAAAAGTATAAATACTCATTTATTTGTACTTTTTTTTTTTACATTTCTTTGTATATTTATTTATGTATTTATTTATGTATTTTTGCTTTTTTACATTTATTCGTATATTTATTTATGTATTTATTTATTTTTAATTAAGTCAGCTTTGGCATTCCATAGTTGGACACCGTGCTGCGTTGTCATGGGAACATCCCAGGTGAAAATAATGAGGAAATTACGTTGTCTTTCGTGGCTACCTTCATCAAGTGCGTTCCACACGGCTGCCTAACAGCACACTAGAGCCTTGCTCACTCCAAAGTCCCACTTTAAGGGCTCTGCAATCTACCCTTCGAAGGGAGTAGGGCATAGGGAAGCACACGAGCAATAAGCACGTCCCAGCCGGGTTCGTCACTTATTTGGTTCCCCTGGAAACATTTCCGTTGTGGTCTGTGTTATTTGCAGCGCGTTTTCTGTATTTGGTTGTGTTGTGAACTTTTGCAGCGCGTTTCTGGATTTGAAGCACACGTGTGTTGTGAAACTGATGAAGATGTATTTTTTTGCAGGTGTTTTTTTTTCTATTTGCACGCGTGTTTTTCTATTTGCACGCGTGTTTTTCTATTTGCATGTGTTTGCTTCAGTTGCAACGCGTTGAGCTGTCTCGTTCACCGTAGGTACAGGCTCTGAACAGTACTGTACACTGTACTGTAAGAAAGACATTTCCCATGCCCCAGAAATGTACATTTCTTAGAATTAATAAACAATTAGCACTGAGTGTTCACGGCACTGTCGGCACAAACAGGTTAATTGATTGTAATATTAATTTTACTACATTGAGTTAATTCTATTAACTGATCCAAATACTCATAATCAATTATAACAAGTTATTATTTATTAATCATATTTTTTAGAGCTAATTTGCTACACACGGTGTTAAGATGGGTGGCCTATGACAATGATTTTAAACCTGCACAGCTATAGCCTCGTGAGACCATCCTGATCTCGCGAGCTTTCAAGGTTTCACTCGCAGATCAGTCTGGATACTTTCCGTTAAAGAAAATTTGGGAGCAGTTCACCAAACGAACGTCCAATCAGCGTTGGCTTTGAGGCGGGTTGAGGTGTGACGCAACGAGAAGCGCGTCAGTTCAGTCTAAAGAACATGTCGGCTTCAGCGGATGAAACTAGCATCAGCGTGGCTATCGAGCAAGTTTTATCGGAATTACAGAGTATTTCTTCACTGAAAGAAGAGCAAAACACTGCTCTGGAGGCTTTTCTCAGAGGAAAAGATACGCTCTGTTAGTACGTCATATATTTTGTTGATCTGATTGGTTGATTTGGCCCGTCTATCACCAACATAGGCCAATCAGCTAACCAGTATTTTCGCCCTTACCAAAACTACTTCAACGGAAGGTTTCCAGATGGATATGCGGAGCAAATCCATCTGGCGGAGTCAGGTTAGCACAGCTAGATTCAAGGTTTAAACAATGGATGTTGAAAGGCAATACATCATATTGTACAATCTCATCCAATACAGGTTTAAAGAGCTTCCAACATCTTACTGACTCCTGTATTTTAGAAAAACAAGATTTCTTTAGATATTTACAGTTTAGGAACCATTATAATAAAAATATTAAAAATAATGAAAAAATTAAAAATGAATATCATCATATGTTTATTGATGCATATAGCGGTGGGACTCACAAGAAACTATTAGAATATATTCAGGTATACAATCTTCTAAAAATCACTACATTATATGTGAAAGATAAATGGGAGAAGGAATCGAACATAATTTTATCTGATGACGAGTGGTTAAACAAGATTACAATCAGTTAACCACACGTACGAGAAACTTCAAGAATCAGGCCAGGGTCACCTTAAAAGGGGCCCCTGTGACCCCTGGCAAGATCATCAAGAATCTCCAGAATCTACGCCATCTGGACTTGTTCAGCAACCAAAGTCAATGCAAGCACCCGTTCGCAGCCTTTAGGTGCGTTTCTAAGTTGTTGTGCCCCTTTTAAGGTGACCCTGGCCTGATTCTTGAAGTTTCTCGTACGTGTGGTTAACTGATTGTAATCTTGCCACTTCTTCTCTTCTCTCTTTCTTTACTTTTCTTTACTTTTTTATTCTGTATATAAACTTTGCTTAGTTTATTTGTGTGTAGCCTACCCGTAGTTTAGTTTATTGAAACCATTATATCCATGCTTTATTGTCTCTGTTTGCCACTTACAAAATCAAAGTCACTTAAACATCTTGATCTAGCTATATGCTATTACCCTGCAAGTACTTTATACATTAAGAAAATGTTATTCTTTCTTGGCCAGGAAGATCATTTATTTCCTAGAATTGATTATGCTGTCTGTTCGTTGAACAAACTGATTAAATGATTGTACTAATTATGCTACAGTCAATTCTAAAAACTAATCCAAATATTTATAATTGGTTATAATTAATACATATTTCCATTTTGAGCTAATTTGCTACATATCCCTTTAAACGTATCATCACTTCAGGAAGATCTGATATCTTTTAATTTGATATATTTTTCTTAATCTTTCAATTAATTTAGATTCAAAGTGATGTCAGATATTGTTTGTCTATAACATGCATGAACATTTTAGCTTCTGTTTCATACTGATCGTCACTGCTGTACATTACAATAAGGACAATAAGATCTGTGCATGTTTTCTATTCAGGGGGTTTACAAAAATGCTAAGTTCTATTATATATAATTTGCAGAACACTAATATTAGGATTTAGTAGTCAGAGAATGGATAGCATTAGACTACTCTACTTAACTATATAACTCACTGTCAGTATTCATTGGACATTATTAAACATGCACACACTATGATGCATGTTAAATTGCACATGGCTATATAGTTATAGTATTTTTTATATACTTTCATCTACTTCAAACTGCTCAGTACAATAAACTCCTGTGGTCTGATGTGTTACTTCCAGTCTCGTCTCTTTTCTCACTCTCGCTGTAATGGAGTTGTTCATCTTCATTTCTTTTCAGCTTCTAATGGAGGTTCAGTCTTACAGTAAGTGATTTATGCTGTTTAATGTCTTTTAAAATAAGTCCACATTTAGAGTGAACAAAGTTTTATTGGATAAAATATTTCAGCATGTGTGATATGATATGTGGGAAGTTTTAATATGAACATACAAACATGTGAACTGCAACCTACCTGATATTTTTGTTTTACTAGAGTATTACTGTATACATCAGCAATAATCAGTAGCTGTCCTTTTTATTTTTGAACCGAAAATATGTGAATAATTTCGGAATATTATTGTACATTGCAATTGTAAATATTAATAAACATTGTCAATGAGATGTAATGATTGATTTGTCTGTTTTGGGTTATTTCAGAATCTCCTGCTGTAAGAGTATCTCCAGATGTGCTAAGAGAGTCCAGATCAGTGAAGATGATCTGTGAGACGCCAGCAGATGTTACAGTGAAACAGTGTAATTTCTACAGAAACAGTGAACAGGAGAATAATAAAGTCAGTCCATCATGTAAACTCGAGCTCACTGGTGTTGAAGTGCTCAGATGGGCAGATGTAAAATCACCTGCATCAGTCGACATTTACTGCTTCTACATAATAACTGAGCATGGGATTGAGAAACCATCACCTCATTCTCCTGCTGCTACAGTGACGGTTCGAGGTGAGAGATTTTACTGCTGTTCTAGTTTGGAAACTGCTATTGCAATGTTTTCTTTTTATTAATTATGGATTATTTGACTTAAACAGGTTCGCTTCAGAAACCCTTCATCAGTGTTAGTGATGATGATGTCCAGATCAACATAGCCTGTGAAATACCACTTTCAGTCAGAGCTGATTTCATCTGTAGTCTCTACACTGAGGATGTTCTTCTGCACACACAAGTCTCTCAGATTCAGAAGAGTCCGTCTGGAGAGAATCATTGTATGTTTTATTTAACTCACAGTGAACTCTTGACACGATCAGTGAACAGCAGAAATCTGAGCTGTGATTATTACATCATCAACACTGAACCTGAGATCAGATCACCGCACAGTGTCACACACACCATCAGAGGTGAGGACTTCATACATTACAAGCTATATTTATATTATAATAGTAAATAAATTAGTAAACAAAACAATTTATGTCCAAATGTGGTTAATATTAGATAATGATAAAACTGTACATTTTTAGATTTAATATATTAATGAATACATTTTTAAATCGCAATATTCAGGCCTGCAAAATTTAAAGCAGATGAGTAAAAATGCATGTATAGAATATAGATTCTAAAAAAGAAATTTAATCAACTGGATATTCTTCTATGAGAGAGAATGTAGAGAGAAATTTACTTTCAAAGTCAAATGTGAAAGTCATTTATAAATCTGTCCAAATATTTATGTAATTATCCAATAATCTAACAATCATGAATGACTGGGAATATCATGGACAAGTCATGGAAATTCACTAGTCAAACATTTGTGAACCCTGAAAATACCAATGAGACTGTTTGGATCAATGAGGTTTCTCTGCCCAGCTATTTTTAAAACCGAAACCAAGCAATCAAAATGTCCCATTGCTTTTTGGTCATATCTCAGTCTTTTTCTTTTTAGATCTTCCTCAGGCCAAGTTAACAGCATCTGCTTCAGTTATTGAGGACACAGACACAGTTCAGCTGAGCTGTGAGAATACTGAAGATCTGAAGATGGAGATGTGTGTCTTTAACATAAATGGAAGAGAAAGTTTCTCAGAACCGAGCTCATCATGTCAGCTCTCACTCACTGGATCTCAGATCAGTATTTGGTCAGAAGGTCAGAGTTCATCTGTGAGAATATCCTGCTTCTACACTGTGAAGAAGTCACAAGTTCTCGTACCATCTCCTCACTCCGATCCAGTGACAATTTCAATCCAGAGTAAGTTTTTTAAATGCATATTTTGAAATAACTGATTTATATACAACAGTAAAACTTAATCACTTTTCTTAAAAACAAATGAATTACTTTACATCTACTTTCATTTGTCCAATGTGCGATAGTCTCTACTGGCCAAACTTTTACAACTGCCACAAAAACAAGTGAGTAACCTTATGTCCAGAGGTGTAGTGGTAAAAAAAGAGGTGGGTAAACTATAAATTCTGGTGGACCACGACGTGGTCACCCGGTAAGGTGGGCCACTGCCTACAGGTGTATGTGTATATCCTGATGACATTGCTATATAGGGAGGGCTCGACATTAAGCCTTTTCATACGCTTAATCTGTCATCCACTTGTCCGAGTAAAAAAGTTTCTCGTCCGGATTTTTTTTATTTATTATTTATTTTGTTTTATTCTGAAACAATATTTTCATCAGTGTTCAATCAGCTTTGATATTTAAATCGGCATATTGTAATATCTGCACCTTTAAATATGAACTGAACTGAAATTTGAAAAACGGTGATATAACAGATCTATTTTATTTATTATCATTGGTACAATTATTAAAATGGCAGAATTTGTTAAAAGGGATAAAACTGTACGTTGAAAATGTTGTTTTTGTTACACGGGCGCCGCCATGTTGGATTTTAACATTCGGCTACGTCACTGGCATGGTAGGCTACTCCATTGCCAACCAACACCAGCAGAGCAGCCATAGCATGTAAATCATAGACATAATAAATACATTATGTATTTATTATGTCTATGATGTAAATAGTCTGAGGCTAGCTGACATGGCTGGGGAAACAGAAACCAACAGGTCTAGGGGGGGTTCATACTGTATTGCCCCTGGCTGTAGTAATGAATTGCATAGGGCTAAGGCAGCTGGGGTTACGATACATTTTCACAGGCTACCTTTGACAAGGAAACCAGCCCTCAAGTCAAGGCTAGCTGCCTTTAACTGTCTAGCCCTCCGACAGCCCCTGGATTTCGAGTCTGTAGTGAGCATTTTTTAGTGACAGACTATTTAGTAGGCCTGTCGCGATAGTCAATAAATTAATTAATCGCACGATAAAAAAAATTAGCTCGATATTTTTCCGGCCGCGATAATTTCCATTTGCATGCGTGTTTGTTTTCCTCGTCTCTCTCTCTCTCTCTCTCTCTCTCTCTCTCTCTGTCAACTCTCTCTCTCTCTCTCTCTCTCTCTCTCTCTCTCTCTCTCTCTCTCTCTCTCTCTCTCTAGCAAAGAGACTGGATGACAACTCTCGGTTCCTTAGCGTAGGAAGAGTGAACTAGAGCTTATTCTGCCCGAGCGATATTTCCCGACACTATCCTTGAGACGTGCACTCCCAACGCTAAACGAAGGCCTTATGAGGGTAATCCGTGCGGTTTTGTCGTAAAAATATACATATTTAAAACTTTATAAATGAAAATATCTGACTTCCGGCAACGATCGACGCGCGTCCACGGGTGATGGAAGTCGGCGTACGAGGTAGGACGTAGCGTCGTGACGTAGAACGAACGCGCCCGCGCAGCCAGAGAGCAGAGCAAAACATCACCCGTGAACGTGCGTCGATCGTTGCCGGAAGTCAGATATTTTCATTTATAAAGTTTTAAATATGTATATTTTTATGACAAAACCGCACGGATTACCCTCATAAGCCCTTCGTTTATCCCCCTGGAGCCGGATGGATTACTTCTGTGAAGGATATATGCACATTTTGGGACTTGAAGGAGGTGGACCCCATTGCTTCACATTATATCCACTGAAGGGTCTAAGACATTTTCTAAAATAACTGAAAATGTGTTCGTCTGAAACAAGATTGACATATGCATCTCGAACGGCTTGAGGGTGAGTAATGCATGGTTTAAATATCATATTTGGCCGAACTATCCCTTTAAATGCATCATTTGAATTGCAAACACATGAGGAGAGTCTCTGCATGAAAGACCCACGACTGGCAGATGAACGTGCTACTACATTTCTCTCCGAAACGGTAGGAAATTAAATTAGATTGAATGGAGGATTGTGACTGTGACAAGATGATTGACAGGGCAGTTTACGGTGATAGGATGCACGCAACAGATCTGTCCGTTAAAGATGACAAAGTAGTATGTCCCAAAGCTTGCCTACTCTTTTGCTACACACTCAAAAGTATGTACTTTTTCTTCACAAAAAGAGTACATACTTTTAGGGCGTAGTATAAGTAAGCAAATTGGGACGCAGCACAAGTATTGCTGATTACCTGTGTAGAATGCCATGCTTCCTCCTATTCAGACAATCCCCCTTCCTCTACTACTTCACCTGGATTTAATCTAGAGGAGGAGAGCAGCTTAGAGCCCCCAGAGGACGGTAGTAGTAGTACAACATACTATAATTCATAGTAACAAGACAATGGTAACAAGACTGTTACAATGTTCCTGGATACAGAATTTCCTCACCAGTCGCTCCCAGACTGTGAAAATGGGCCCTTACGTGACATCCACCACTTAGTAGTACCGGTTCTCCACAAGGGTGTGTGCTGAGCCCTTTACTGTACTCCCTCTACACCTACAGTATGACTGCAGCAGAGCCCACCACAGTAATACCATAGTTAAATTTGCGGACGACACAACGGTGATTGGACTTATCGAACGAGGTCCAGAAAATAACATGGAGTTCAGTCAACAACTGAAGGTGGATCTGTTTCCCCTTAACATCGACGAGGACTGTGTTGAGATGGTCCAACATTTTTAATTTCTGGGCACTTTTATCTCTGCTGACCTCTCCTGGACTGCAAATACTACGGCGGTCATCCAGTATCAACTACACTTCCTGAGACATCTCAGGAAAAACGTCCTCGGGTTACGACTGTAACCCTTGTTCCCTGAGAAGGGAACGAGAACTGCGTCGAATGACACTTTGGGGGAACGCCCCTCAGCGTAGCGCCTCTGAAGTATGAATGAAACTGAGCCGATCTCTGATTGGTGCAACGTCATGACGTGATGTGTGACGGCACATAGGCGGAAGCTATAAAAGCAGCCGGCACACATAAGATGTCAGCTTCTGTGATGAAGCAAGCGCTCCCAGGCAGGGGAAGGCGTGGCCAAGGGACGCAGTTCTCGTTCCCTTCTCAGGGAACAAGGGTTACAGTCGTAACC